CATTGCACGTATAAAATTATAACATTTTTTTAAATTTTTACAAGATATAAATTGTAAGGTGTTGACTTAAAATAAAATTACTATTAGCATATTTTTACATGTATTTAATTTTTGTTTAATTTGTTTCTATAATTTATATGTAAATTAAATTTTAATAAATAAATAGCATATTTTTAGAATAAATAGAATAAGTTATAATTCGAATATTGCAAATTAATGTTTATGTTGCTTTTATATTGTTTCCAACTAAATCTAAACTAAGTTATTTTAAGAAATTGTAATTATTAAGTCGAGAACAGAAAATAAATTAGTATTGTCATAATTAGAAAAAAATGTAATCTCCTACATGTTTGCTGAAAAGGGTCGATATTGAGATCTATCAAAAAATCTGTCTACAATGTTTCTCTTTTGAACTGAAAACGATGTGTTAAGTATCCAGCTCATGTTTATGATTTGTTACAAATCTTTTCAAATGACACCACGAGATATGTTCGTAGTTGAAAAAAGAAGTTGGAGAGTGTCGTATTGCATCTTTCACGAATTTGTCGAGCAATAACTTAGCGCCTTCTTCAATATTCTAAGTAGGATTAACGGGGGCTACCGCAAACCTCATATTACAGGATCCATTTCGAATCCTAATTTCGACAAAACGGATGACAGGGATTTTCGATGGATTATGAATCAGCCGACCCTTCCTCTCGAAGCAAAAGTCTGAATGGCCGAAAGCAAGGAGGAAGGGGTGGTTAGGAGCATGTGTGGCTTGTATGTCACAGGGAAATACAGTCGCACAAATTCAAAGTCATTGTTAGTTATTAATTCATTAACTATGACGTATTAATTAAATTAATTAAATTAAATTCTATCGTGGTTCTCCAAAAATTATTCTCTACGTAACATAATTTGATATGCAACTATGCGAGGCGTCAATGATTACATATATCTCAATCTAGCTTTAAACATTGCTTTTGAGCGAAATAACATTGAAAATTCATAAAGGAAACCTACAAGTGAAATCTACGCAAAATATTAACGTAACTAAGCACGGAGTATTACGTACTTTGTGAGAATATTTGAAGAGGATACTCTTTGTTAAGTTGAGCAATATAAAGCAGTATGAAAAGTGCTGTTCAGAGATTATCTTAAAGAACGAAGTACAATGATTATAAATGATCACGATTACGATAAGAAGCTAAATTATAGAATATACGATAAGAAGCTAAATTATATATATTATATATATCTACCAAAACGTTATCCTATCTATAACTCTGCTTATGATATAATTTTTTAAATATATATTTTATATATATCTAAATATGTATTTAAAAATTTTTAACATCACATGAATCGGAGAACAAAATCGATAAAATTCTATTTAGAGACATATAGTACTTAGACATATTCAAATTTATTTTTATATTATTTTATGGTTGCCATATCGAAATTAAAGCCACAAAATTCAATTAACGAATCGAAGAATCGTTATCTGTGTAAAAATAAAAAAAATCCATGCGACAATTTCACAGAGTTAATTTTAAAAAAACGGGAGTTATTAATACGAGAGTAAGTTTTAATTTCTTCCTCTTTGTATTTTCACAGGAAAAAGAGAAAGAGAGAGAGAGAAAAAGAGAAAGAAGAAAAGAAGAAAACCGGGAAGGATGTGCCAGATGGTCAGGAACATTACGGCGCTGCCGCGGATTGGATCCCACAGCATCTCGGAAAACGAAATGAGGCGAATGAGACTAGAGACTGATTCGAAAGCTCCGCCTGGTTTTCGGGACGTCCCAAATCTTCGCATCCCTCCAACCAATATATTTTCTTATCTCTATCTCATTCTCTTTCCGTCCGCGTTGCTCCTCCCGGTTCACTCTTCGGTTCTGCTTCGGAGAACATTGACTAACAATTAGTTGCACGTCGCAGACGTGATCTGTCGCGATATTCTACCCTGCCGACACAGACACTCGTGTGATCGCGAATAAAAGAGGAATCATTGATCACAGGTATCGATCAAACTGTTACTATTAATTGCGCCGTCTGGATATAAGTGTCAGCGACAATGACCTAGTGCAGCTATTGAGGAAGGAAAGATCTTTTTTTAGTACTCTTCGCGCGCAAAGTGATATCTTGTAGTTTTATGCTTTGGCGTCTATTGAATTTAATTTATGATTGAGTAATTAAACATATATATATAAAAAATTAAATAGCGAATTATTGCGTATGAGACATTAATTATTTCAAGCTTTGTTATTGGTGCTCTTTTATTATCCGAAGCTTTATATTATTATAAGTATTTCTTGTTACAGACATACATCAAAAAAAGAAGCTTTTATAGAATGAAGCTTTGTGCCCTTGAAAATTGTTGTGTGTGTGTGTGTGTGTGTGTGTGTGTGTGTGTGTGTGTGTGTGTGTGTGTGTGTGTGTGTGTGTGTGTGTGTGGTGTGCAAAGTGCAAATTTAAAAAAATACAAATAAATAATAGGCTTAAATTAAAAATATAATAATAGACTAAATAAATAATAGGTTTAAATTAAAAATATAATGATACAAAAGGCTAATAAGCCAAGCTGGATGATAATTGTCTTCCATATATAATAAATAATATAATAATATAATAATATAATAATATATAATAAACAAATTACATAAATAAATAAATATCTTAAGACTGTGAGACTCGGAAGATGTAAAATCTAAATGTAAAATGAACTGGACTGTATGAGCCAAGCTAGGTATCGATCGCTGTTTATATATTGAAATTAAATAATATAAATAATAACAAGTTGCATTTACGTTACAAACGTTTCGACCTTTAATATGGTCTTCATCAGTATATAAACAGCGATCGATACCTAACTTGGCTCGTATAGTTCATTTTACACTTAGATTTTAAGTAAATATTATCGCAAACATTCCCACTCGTAATGTTTCTGATTTAACAAATCATCTTCAGTGTATTAATCAGTGTATTAATATAAATTAAAAATCAAATTGGCGGATAAAAAAGAAGAAAAAATGTTTAATCTTGTTAATGAAAGTAATGATAATCACCGCAAGATTGTCTAATTTGTTTAAAAGCACTGTCGTTAAATCGCAAACAAGTATCGAGTGAGATTTTAGATGGTTTTCTATTTTATGTTACATCAAGTATAATTAAGTATAATCAAGTATAATTAAGAGGCAAGTCGCAGATATGCGTTTTGAAATATGAAGATTTAAACGATGATCAGAATTATTATTTCTAAGAATGTGCATCTTAATTTTAAGTTGACAACAAAAAACATTTCTATAAATAATTCTTTTCCTCTTATCCAATTTTTTTTTCTTTAATCTTGTATAATATCTTGTTTAATACTTGTATCTATCTATATAATACTAAACGTGGAATGTCAATTCGCGATTTGCAGGCTTTTCCGAATAAATTCGAATTCTATGACTTAATGCATGAAAAATTATAAATTACTTTTTAGAAATTTACCTAAGAAGAAAAATAAAATCGAGTATAATAAAATAAAAGTTTAATTTTTTTATTACATAAAAATAGAATAGTGAAAAAGAAAGACGCATATCCTATTTCATTCTTTGTATAATTAAATTTTAAGAGAATTCTTTCTATATTGCATTTTTATTGAATTAGATGTTTTAACTATTCATTGATTTTATATTATCGATAAACAATTGATTATGCGTTGTAAAATACATAGTCTTGCTGTGATAGTTTAATTCTATTTACTTTGCCTGAGTCTATATTTCAAATCTTCAATATTACAGAAAAATAATAAAAATATTAATATATTTTTATTTAGTGATTAATTTTAGATTTCCTTAGCTACGCAAAAAAAATGTGAATGATAATTTCATCTTTTTGAAAAAATAAAATAATATAAATATTTAATGCGTGTTAAAAAAAAAACATTCTTTGATTAAATGAATAGTTCTGAAAAAAATCTTTTTTTATTACGATAAATAATAACTCTATGTATCTCATAATTTGTAAAAAAAAAGTATTTCATTTTTGTGTACTTATTTTTAAACAGTTATTTATTAATAAGCGTTAACGTTACAGGATGCCTCGAAAACGACGCGCTTCGACATCGTCACTGGAGGAATATCCTTCTGAGGAAAAGTATTTGAAGGATGACATGGATAGTCGCGCTCCGCGAAACGCTGCCAATGCCCGAGAACGCGCGAGAATGCGAATATTAAGCAAAGCATTTTGCAGATTGAAAACAACATTGCCATGGATACCTGCAGATAGCAAATTGAGCAAATTGGACACGTTACGTTTGGCCGCAACGTACATCGCTCATCTGCGAGCGGTGCTTCGGGATGACGGTGAAACTCATCCTGAGACCACCAAATCCTTGTCGCTAGCCTTGGTAAGTATCCATGTCTCATTAATATTAGAATTGATTGATTAGAATTGAAGTTTAAACAATTTTCTTCTTCTTCTTCTTCTTCTAATATTTAAAAAGTCATGAAGAATTGATTATACTTTAGTTAATTTTAAGATTTACTAAACCTAATAGAGAAACGATTATATACATTAATTTTACAAAATTGTACATTTTGACAAAAAAATTTTAATTAGCAATTGATTTGCTAATCAAAGAGTTATTAATTTAGAAAAGAAAAATTTAACGAAAGAAAATTCTAATGTCAAGCATATTACACAAAATTTCCATGGAAAGTCTTGATCGCATATTTGTTAATGTTACTGGAAAATATCCCATACATTCCAAATTAAATGGAATGTAAAATAGGATTTATCTGACTTTTTAACTGGGGTCTAAGTTATTTTTACACTATTTCTCGCTTTTATAATCAGACTTTTAACTTGATAACGATTCCGTAAAATAACACTGAAACCAGGTGGATCCACTCGGAGTCGCGAGGCGAGCGCCGTCTTCGCAGTCATCCACTCTGTTTATGTCTGTCCAGGTGGATCGAATCACTCCAAAACCTTCCACCCACCCTTTACCACCATTAATTCTAAGTTAGTTCCGTTGTTTGAAGAAGCCGTGCCGTTTTCCGCCGCGAAATAGTTGGACTTTCGTTCTCTTCTCGCGATGATCAAAGAACGTTCTATCTGTAAAAATTTTTCTACGCAAATATCGGACCTGAACAAATTGATATTAAAAGAATAATGGCTCTAAAATTTCATGTATATAAATGGACAATTTTACAATGCAATCGCGACCGTATGTCCAATGTTCATAATTTTATTAATTAACATTTTACGATTAATAAATTTTAATAATATTAATAAAGAAAATTATAAGGCTCATCGTAATTTAATGTACAATTAAGGCGTTTAAATTCGATTTCTATAATGAAGTAAGAATAATCTTAATTACAGTCGTGGCCTTTTGCTATTCAAAACAACAATGCTGCCGCGCTTGTGAACACCAGTTGCAACGTGTCTTCCTCTACGTCTTCGAGTTGTAATCAGTATCGAGGACAGCAAATGACTCACGATATTCAAAATTTCCATCATTCAGGGCATCAGGGTGCATCGACACGCCATAATCAGGAGCAACAGCTCTCTTATTTCTAACAAAAAAATTCTGACAATCCGATCAGAACTTGACTGCAGTGAGCGATATCTACAAAAAGTGACCACTAACGACTGGATTACACGACGAAGATGGTGCTGTCGTGTATTCACGCCTTATTTATTCCAAAGTGCCTTATTCTAATATTTATTGATTTAATTTTAATATATAATTACGATTGCATCTCAATTTATATGACAAGGAAACAATGTACATATTCATATTTTGACTATACGTATTTTTTGCATACCAAAAGAATTTAGCTGTAATTCAGCTGTTTAGAAACCTTAGTAAAACAAAATTATGTAAGATAAATAAAATCATTTCTGATATATTTTATAAAAAGAAAGAAAAAGTCAAGAATTAACGAATATTACATGAAGAGATTTTACATATTCACGGAGAAACTGTTTCCTTGTCTCACATATTCAATTATTACAATATCATGTAATATTGATATGTAATCACAATGAATACCAAAGTATGTTAACTAGTCCAATAAAAATATTTCTAAGATTTTCAAAAATTCTCTTTTTATTTAACGTAACATTATGTTAATTCAAATCGTTATTATAAAGTTGTATAGATAAATCTTGAATATTAATGTTAAAAGTAGAAATCCATCTGTAATGCTTCAGTTAGAATTCAGCCTCAATTTAGAAATACAATTTCTGGAAAAATTTTTCGAGAATAGAAATCGATATGCTGCTTCTAGAGATACAATAATTTAGAAGCTAATACTTTGATAACTGTTGATAAGCAACTTAATAATTTATTGCTTGCAAAATGACGATTTACAAAAGTAATATCTCCTGCGCATCCCCAAAATAATATCGTAATTTTATTATATTCCATATATTACTCAAAGTAGAAAATGCTTCGATGCAATACGTTTAACAAATTAGTAATCATTAAACATGAAATGATTAATTATAAAGAATATCTTTAATATTTGGAATAAAAATGTTGTAATATAAATTATAATATAATTTTAATTATTTTATATTATATTTTACATATATCGTGCATGTGTACAACTTCGTAAAAAATAGCGGCGTCTCATGTTTTGTTGAAGGAACTCCGGCTAGCATCCGGAAACAGCAGAGAGGAAATCCGCGGTAAGGTAAGAAGGATAAAGAAGTCCAAGTTAAATAAACAGTGTGAAGGGCCTTTTGTGTAAACTCAATACTAAAATAATATATCCCACACGGCGACAAATCGACCGGCACTAAACGTATCGCTTAACGTCTTCGTGCTACAACAACATACATGAGCTTTGGAAATTTATAAACGAGAGATGATGTTATCTCGTCGTTTTTTAACTACCCTTTAAAATTTTCATTGCATTATTTTCGGAATATGCAATGAATATGCTGTAGTTTCGCATATGTCCGAAACGTACAGACACCGAGATCGCTGCTTGCAATGATAAAAGCGATCGAAGGAAATCAAAGAAGTAAATTAAATTATTAAGCTTATCATCGCAGATGAGAGTTTGAAGAAAAAAATAAATCAAGATTTTAAAAGTGTATACGTAGTATTAATTAAGATAAATAGAAACTCGAATATCCTACTCTGATAAAATACTTATAGATGATTTACTGGTATTTTTGCATAAAATCATTAGATCAACCATCAATCAGATAGCAAATTATTTTAACGACTTTAAACACTTTAATGATAAATAACACCAAATTACTATCTAGGCTATCTTTCTTCAATTTTTTCATTAACTGTCATTAACATAACAAACATACATAAATTTTCTGAGATGTTTCATATTCAAGAATTTCTTCCTGCCATATTTCTATGAAAGAAAAGATATGTAAAAATATGTAAAACAGATATTCCAGCAACTTGATATCATTTATTATCAAAATAATATCAGATTATTGGGAAAATTCTATAAAAAAATATACAAAAATATAATTATATAAATTATAAATATATTATATAAAAATATAAACAGACATTTATATTAACTTTTAGAAATTCGATCTATTCGAATTTTCAATTCTATATTTTGAAATATTTGATTATGGACATTCTTGATTGTAATAAAAGAGAAATGTCGTCTGTAATTTAAAATGTCTGTAATTTAAATATAATTTACTTGTTTACTTTGATTTGGATTTAATCCTACTAAAATTCGAGTTTGGGTCATCCTAATCCGAGATGAGTACGAGCGTAACTAAAATCCAGATAAATTTTTAAGGATTAATACAAAAAAATAAAAAAGTAATTTCCTTTTTTGAATACGATCTTCCGATCTGTCCTGATTAGATCTTTTTTATTGTCTTATCGATTATTACCACTCTAAAGTGCTGAATATTCTTTTACTGACGTTTCATAAATTTCATAAAGCAAAAGAAACAGAGTCGTATTCTGAATTCTCTTTTATCAATAAAAGTAGCTTACAAACCTTCTGATTGGCTGTAAGCTACTACACTTTTAGAGATATTTTTATATATTTATAAAGAAGGATTCAGAATATAGGCTGTATAACATAATGGAGAATACACAATCGCGAAAATCGCGAGCAAAAACAGCGAGCTTTTCGTTGACCAGCTGCGTCAAAAGGACGTCGGGGTCAAATCTAAAAAAGTGGAGAACGATAAACCGGATAAGCGCGGCTAATTCCGAGAATCGGAGTTTCCAGTCGCGAAAATCGCTTCGCGCCTTCGATCCTTCGACCGCAACTGCGCACGTGCGACGCAGTCCGATCTTTCCCGCGAGGCGTCGCGCGATAGTTTTCTCGACGCACATACACAGCCATCCGGTGCATCGTAGCGCACCGTCGGATCGGATCAGTGAAACCCGAGCGTGAAAACGGAGCGAAGCGAAGCGGAGCGGAGTCGAAGCGAGTCGAGCCGAGTCGAGCGGAACGCGAGCTGGGAGTGGGAGACCCAGTAGAGTGTTGTCGGTCCTGTGACAGAGACGTCGATCGATCCACGTCGCGTCGTTTCGTCGTATACGTCGGTACGCCGCGCGATTTCATGATGTAGCGCCAGCGGGGTGGGTGATCCCGGGATAGGCAGAAAGACCAGATCTCGCAGCTCGCGGTGATCCCGAACGAGCGCAGGTCACGCGCGACGAACGAATCCTCTTCCTCGAGAGAGAGAGAGAGAGAGAAAGA